TAAATGCCATTTTATGTATATTATTAAGCTGGTGGCTTGCAGCAGTTTTGCCAACACGAACCATTTTAAGCGCGGCAGAGTAAGGAAGAATGTAGTGGGTATCAAAGAAAAACGACATTTCCAACCTTCCGGTAAAGAACATACCAGTACTGGCTCTTAATAAACTCCGATTTGGACATTACTTTGGATATTTCCTTACCAGCGGAGATCAGTATGGTATAATTTTTCAAATTGATTGAAATAGAAATTTTCCTAATAAAATACAATACTACAAAAACATTACGAGTATATTAATGAAACCTGTTATATAAGCAATACTAGAAAACTTCACTCATCGTCACTTCCATTTTCTTTTCGTTAAGCTAAAAAACAATGACGTATCACTTTGCTCGGAGATTTGCCAAGGCTACTGGGTTTTCGGCATCCAACTTCTACAAGTGTGGTCCTACTATTTTTTCTCTTTATTTATGTGTTTTTCTTTACGTTATATATATATATGTTCCTTTTTCATCGTCCTAAAGCTAGCTCACTGAGAATTAATATATTCACTATGTATGTCACGAATATTTGCTAAAATAAAGCTTAAGTCCAAATATGTTTATCACCTTCTCTCTGACTATACATATTACTTCGTGTCACTCTCTTGCCTTCTATCTTTTTCTATCTCTACGTATCTTATTCTCTCTATATACTGCTATCTATGTATATTTATCTCTCCTTGATCTAAAGTTAGTTGATTGAGTAGTCATCTGTTCACCAGGCAAGCCTACGAACATTTGCTAAAAGAAAGCTTGAGAGCAAATAGCTCTATTTCTTTCTCTGTTTCAATACATATTTCTCTCTAACTATTTGTTTCTCTCTAGATATAGAAGGAGAAATCTATATCACTATAATTATATATCTTCTTCTGTTCAGTAGGCAAGCTTACGGATATTTGGTTTCTTATACAAATATGTTCCGAGAGTTCGCTGAAATTAAATCTTCTAGTGTTATATATATAGACGAAATGTCAGCCCTTGGTCGGATAAAATTGCGTTAAACCTTAACGTCTGTCGTAATTATTGTTTCTCAAGTATAGTTTAACATCGAAGTATTTTAATGGACGGAAAGAACCTCTACTCTCACCATCCTAAAACAGGGTTTTAGCAAGGCCACCCTCTCTCTTACAACATGATAAAACTCCAATTAAATGAATATGTGACTCAGTGAAGGCAAACGAATCGAATTGAAACCAGGACAACATCAGTCTAGTTTCTAACTCTATATCTCCCAGCCAGTGCCGATGATTTCTGACTTTTTTCAAAACTGTCCTTATGTTGTAAAATGACTTCTAAGTGCAGTCAAGCATTTGTCAGTTTTGTTCAGACTTATATATAGTATTTACAGAACTCTCAACAGTTCATTGTTAATATTTTCTGAGGTTCCGAGAATCGAGCTTTGTCATTAACCGGTTTTTTCAATAGATGAAATTTACAATAAAAGTGAGGCGGGGGTCGATGGCTCAAAGGTAAGCGGACACCCGTTATATGCCAAGACCATAATATACCCGAACCATACCGAAAAAATATGCGAGAGACTCCCTCAAAAAAAGATAGAATACCCTTGATGATTGAATTGAACTGTGCCTAGTCTTTCACACACGCTTTAGCAAGAATACTTAAATCAACTAATACCATATCTAGTGACGTTTTGTACACAAGCTTCGGCATAACATTACTAAGAAAAAAGGATAACAAAAGGCTACATTTTTATGTAAACAATTCAAAGGACACTTCTATACACTCTCAACGCAACAGCCAAGAGGAGACAACAATAACTTGAACATCATAAAGTGCGTACAATAACAAAACTTCAAGGGCTTCTAGTGTTGTGCTTTTACAATAGTTCGCTTCTATTATCTCTATACAATGCACCTTCTGTCGTGGGCAAACCGCATTACTTGTCATAAATCACATGTCAAGTGCAGTAGCAGCAACAGCAGCTAGAATTCATAATAATTTCTGTAAGCTTTTTGTTTATGATTTTCCCATTTTTAATACAATTTTATGAATAAGTGCAGAATGAGAACTCGGATACGACAAATTGTTGTTGCATTTCACAAGAAGGAGTTTCAATGTGAGTGAAGGTATTAGAAATTATTTGAAAATACAAAAGCCACTAAATAAATGAGTTTGTGCTAAGCTTAAAGAATACTTGTCTGAAAAGGTATTATGTGGAAAAATGAAACCTTCTAGTACGAAGAATTCATATTGCTGAAGGATTTACAAGAAACTAGTGTCACACAAGGCAGAAACTCAATTTCAAAATATTTTATGAATTTTTTTATATTATTTATTGGATATATTTTTGTAAATTGTTTATATTCTCATTGCAAAAGAAGAGCCAGGCTTCACTTTATCAAAAGCTGGCTCCCTAAGTTCTCTTGGCTTCTTCAAAAACTGGCCCTACCGTTGTTATGTTACTGTCAACGAATAAAAAAAAAACTTTAAACCAGAGATCATCAACAACCAATGTAGCTTGAATAATTTTGATTTACACTCAGAGTCCAATACATATTTCTGATAGATTCTTCGTCTAAAATGGTGAGCATCATAATGCTCTTCCACAAATGTAAGAGCCATAATGGCACCTTCGAGAGGCGGATATATTAATTTTCACTTATTCCACAACCACCGCCGAATGACTCAGACTCCACATTATCAGTAGAAAACTGACAGTGGGTCCGATTATCAAGCACTATTAAAATGCCTGTAGAACGCAAAGCCTGGTCGCTTTCTCTCTCCCGAAATGAAACTGAGTACAGAATAAGATATGCCTATTTGACTACTCTTCTAGGAGATGAGCATTTATAGACTTTCACAAGACTAAGATTAAAATATCAGTCACCCAAGAGCCAGCTGGAAGCGAATTAGTGATGACAGTAAAATAGTGATTGGCTCTAAATTAGCTGATCATTCGTGCCGGTTTGGCCGGACGACAGTCCGGATTCCAAGTTAAGCGTCCCAGGCTTATAAATTAAAGACAAAACGAATTGAATAAAATTGTGTTGCTCTGTTACCTACAAGTATTATATGTCACGCTTTTCAATAAATTGTACTATGGAAAAGATCGATTACTAAACAAAAACGTCACGGATTAGGCCGGGAAAAATATGATCACCTAACTTTAACAGCTTTGAGGATTTTAATCTATCCTTGGATGTTTTTGGTATCACAAATATATCAATCTGCAAAAGTCCAAATGTCGTCATGGGAATCAGTCTTAATTCCTAACATAACTGGAGACCATGCAAAGTTATGATCCTGTTACCTGACTATAAACATTGTACTGCAGTAAAAATTCAAAGATTTAGAGTACAGTTCCAGATCCAAACACCCAAAATTAAATCTTCATTACTAGCAATTTCCTGTTCTTTGCTTTGGACTCTTGATTTTAAGCTCAGCAGGTTCCTTATAATTGATTAGTTGCATACAATCTGGTGAACTTTTTCTCCAGCTCTTTCAAGTGTTACTAAAAAAAATATATTCTAAATTGTGCCACCTATTCTTCACTATTCACTCGACAAATATATCAGTTTATATCGACGTCACAGACAGAATTATCGGCTCGGTCTCAAGTAACAACGATCATAGCGGCACCTGAAAATCTTGTTAGGCGCTCGGATGAACTTGCCTTGTCGAAATAAGCATTTCCTCTTCAGTTACTTTCAATCTCAGGTATAGTCGAGATGTACGTAAATTCTAACTCAGTCGTTTGAGTTCGTACGACTAATATCAAAACACGGACAGCCGATACCATGTTAGTTAGTTTTCAAGATGAACTGTCGGATTTATATAATTCTTTGTATTCTTCCTCTCTTTTTGTGCTTATGAGATAAATATATACTTTGCTCAACTTTAAAATAATTTAAAGACCATAACAACAAATAGTCATCAGTTGTGCCAAATTTTATTTTCACAAAAACAATAATACGCTTCAGTTAACATTTTGGCTCCGAAATTCCGAACTAAACTGTCACTTTGCCGTCCGGCGCATGCAATGTAATTTCGAGATTCCATTACGAATTCATTTAATAACCACTCATTTGCATCAACAATTTCGTGATATATTTTGTTGTTTCCACTTAAATACATTTATGTAAATTGCTTAAATTTTATGAAATTTCTTATATGCCATTTACATTAAAGATTTAATAGCAAAAGCTGAGCTCTGACTGTTGTAATCACTGAGTTGAAATTTAACAGCATCTTTCCTTTTAAGGACCTCTATGTGAAGGCCTTTAGCAATCCATCGAGTGTCTCTTTCGTATTATCACGCTGAGTTTCACAATGACTCCAAAAAATTAATTTGCAGAAGAAATATATTTGCATTAGAATTTAAAGGTGAAGACATATTAAAGTTCTTCAGAAAGCAACCACAACATCATACACTACCGACATCCTACAACAATGTTGTACTATGTTACCGGCGTTCAAACACACAACACTTACGACCGGCAACCCTTTACTAAATTTTTATATTTATAATATATTATAAGCAACCGCATACTCCTTCCTCCTTCAATTCTTGCCTTTTTCGCACGGACTCCGAGCGAGCTAGACGTGTCAGCAGCAGCAATCAGTTTATTTGTGGAGTTTAGTTTTTATTGTAAAAACATCGCAGTAATGTACTCAAACGAATACACAGTCCGTCTCACAAAGATTGGATAACACTCTTCCGGAAACATCCAAAACTTTTCGCTACGTTCAAAGCCGTTTCAAGCTACTTGTATGTTCTTTAAGTTCAATAATTGTCTTGAGAGCTCTTGAGTTTCAAATAAATAGAGTTGTACTCTTTATAAATGTTGATATCATAAATTACAGAGAGAGTGAGAAAAAATGAGAATAGTCCATAAAAAAGGCAGTCTCTAGCAGCTCTGTTTGCACAGATGATGAAATAGCGATCTCAACACGGACGATAATGCTTGTGGGTGGAAACTATACATAGATAGAGCAGAGCATTCAATTTAATTTAAGAAGGCTGAGCTTATATTGCGCGAGGAGAAAACAAATAATTTCTGCTGCAACAACAACAAGCTCAACAAGCTCTATCTTATCACCGTGTGGAGGAAGAGAGAGCTTTTGATTTACGCTTCGAATAATAAAGCTATGATTTCTATGACAGTTTAACAACCAAAATTGAGATACTTGGTTTTGCTTAGCGCTTCAATTTAATATATTCTGAGAAAGAATAACAACCCTGTAGTTTTTGCCAAAAATTGAGATCTTGGGGAATATAAAAGAAAAATAGTCATACTTTGAGGTACATTTCATCTCTAGAAGCTCTTAAACCTCTTCGAAGGTCAATATAACCTCGAAGTGAAGATAAAGGAACGAACGCTCGTACTCTTGACTTTACTTATACGCTACATAGCAAGGTATAGCTGGTCGCAGGTAACAGTAACTTGCATCTCTATTTCTCCACTATATCTACAAACTCATACACGCTGTAATAACACTCTAAGTTATGATGCAATTTGTTTTTCACGGCTTCTCTGTCTCTTTTATTTAAGTTCGCTGATTGTTCTCGAGTTGTTGACCAACAATACTGTCTGGATGTGATTTGATTCCTCCGCTCACACACACAACCGACAAAGAGAAAGACGAATGGGACAGCAGTTAGTATCCTATTGCCGCAGCAACTTCCTTAGTTCTGGAAGTGAAATGTGCAAATGGTTGGCAGTGAAGTGAATGACATGAAAGCGCTCGCAGCTAGCGACCATAACAAAAACAAATGCAAAAGCAAAACTATTAAGCAACAAAGTATATATGTGAATAACTGTTGTCCTGCCATATCCTGTAACGTTTGGCCAGCTATGCAAATATTTGCATTTGCATTCGCCGTCGCATTTTCATTTCCATTTGCATTTGCAACTACATTGTGTGGCACGTATTTGCGCGCATTCACATTCCCGCAGGATAATGCTCATACTCATAGCACCCATACATCACAATTACGAAAATGCATGGAATATTTTTTACGATGCGTTGAACTTTTAAGTGAATTTTGCGAATGCAATGAAATATGTGAAATGCAATGATTTCCATGACTGCCCAGCTTATGTGAGTGTGTGAGAGTATGTGTATGTGGGTGAGTGGGCAAGTGGATATATTTGAGTACCTCGGGTTTAACGTGACGTGGAAGCCGGATATAGTCCTTAGTAAAGCTAAGCGAAAAGTAAATACTGTTATGTAAATAAGGAATGTTAGTCAAATCTTTCGTGAACTAGAAGACAAAAATGTTATTACTAAAATTTAATATTCATCCATTCCTCGCCAGAAAATCGTCGTAGGCGCAAGCGAATGAATGGCTAGATACTACATATAGACAGAGAGAGTAATAGACAGAAGAAGGAGACAGATCACAGGTAGAAGAAGGGTGAGAGAAGGATGGAGAGATAGAGGAGGAATAAGACAGATGAGAGAGTAAGATAAAGTTGCAGATAAATAGGGATATAGAGGTAGAATAAGAGAAAAAGATCAAGATAAAGAGAAAGTAGCGTAGAAAGAAGAGAGGAAGAGAGGAAAGAGAAACAGACAGGATGGAGAGAGAAGGAAACAGATTTAAGGTAAAGGGAGAGTGAGAGTGAGAGAAAGTGGCAGAGAAAGATGGGTACATAGAGAGAGAAGAACACAGGTTATAAAGAGGAAAGAGGAAAAAGAGCGTAAAAGAAAGGCAGAGGAACAGAAAGATAGAGAGAGAAGGAAACAAATTAGAGCTAAAGGGTGAGTGTGTGAAAGTGGCACAGAAAGATATAGACATAGAGAGAGAATGAAAGAGAAGGAAACAGGTAATGGGGAGAGAAATAATTAGAACAAGATAGATTGATAGCAAGATAGAGGGAGAGTGAGTGAGAAATAGAGCGAAGGAGGCATAGAAATAGTGGAGAGAGAGGTTAACTCAGAAACTAACCACTACTTGACATCCCCAGATCAAAGTATCATCTCCTGACCAATTTGAATGAAATTGTTGTTGTAGTATTAAACATTTTAATTTCAAGTTCTACGTTTTGACCAGATATTACAGAGAATCTTTGTTGTGCATCACATCCACGAGGAGAGAGGATACTAGAAAGCTACTGCCGCCCATGAAGCAGTTATTTTCAGATGACAGCATCAAATTAGTGTACACCCTGCTATTAGTGGTTGCCAAACAAAAATTCTGCAGATGTTTTTGGTCGGATATGATCTTTGTTGCATTTTCGAAAACTCGACTATCATGGAATCATGGAAATGAACGAGTCTATAAAACCTTAAAGCAAGAACTTGATCTTCAAGCCTTCTAAAAGTTCCATACCAGCTATAAAATTACAGAAGATGGGACTGGATATTAGATCTGACTTTTCGTTGCGTTTCCTTAGAATCTTATTAGGGTGTCGCGCGCGTATCTCGTTGAGGGATGATCTCACCTTGCAAAAAGTCAGCGAAGGTTTATCACTTATTGCCTTAAGTTTTGGGTCATCCCTTCTAAGTTTTTATAAGCAGTGAACTTAACAGGTGTGTATGGTAAGCAAAACAATCTTAATACTTAACAGATATTTTTACATTGGTATATAATACTTTATTGATTAATTCAATGGAATACTTCAGATTACTTCTGATACTCATTTTAACAGTTTTCTGGAAGATAATGCAATTAAATTAGTTAACAAAGGACTAACTAGATTTAAATGGGCACCATTCCAACTTTGTCTGATCCCTATCTTAGAGAGCTTTGAATCTTGTTTTATTCAAATACTAATCGAAAAGCTTCCGGTTTGACAATTTTTAGCTGTCAATACAATAGTTTTACAAAAAATGTAACCTCTAGCATTTTAGAGAACGTGAAATTGAAATGAAATCCAAAGAAATAAACAAATTTTTAAAATTCCAAGCATGAAGTCAAGCCAACCAGTATGGAGGCGAGTATTTAAGTCAAATCATACATGTATAACGGTCGTTTGCGGCAAACCATTGGCAGTCAACATGAAGCGAGCAACCACGGACAAAAGATCACAACCACACACACATATGTAAAAAGAGTTTACAGTGACAACAAAAAAATAACGGAATTGAAAATTTATTGCGTGAAACAATTGTCAGTATTACGGACACCACATCGATGGCCATTGCTGACAGTTATAGGCAGGATCAAGTTATGCACACATATATCGGATGTAGATGTCGTTAGCGAGGTCAGTGGGTGGGTCCAAATGCAAACAAAATTAAGTTTTGCTTTCGTAAAAAAGCATGTGTAAGAGGCAGGAAGAGAGAGAATAGTGATATATTGCACGCATAGGACCACATGCTTTGAGCTTTGTTGTTCGCACTTTTATCTTCCGTTTCTTTTTTTGCCGACCTGGTGAAATATACTCTTGCAACATGTTGCTACCGTGTATAATAGTTTTTTTCACTTGGTTGTTTGTATCACATATAACTAATCGAAATAGATATACAGTTATGTATATATAAATGTTCAGGATGATAAAACGAGCTGAAATCCGAGTGACTGTCGGTCTGTCCGTCCATCCGTCTGTTTGTGCAACCTGTAACTTGAATAAAAACTGAGATATCGTAATGAAATTTTGTACACGTGTTCTTTGGCAAAAAGTTGCGAACGAGTTCGTAGATGAATTTCAATCCCGCTACCTAACGGCGCCAAAGAAATTTATATGCGCGCACACTTCCCGACACCCGCAGTTTAACACAGATATGTTGCATTATTAGCATACATCCGCAAACATAATTAAATTAACGCGCGATTGCACTTAAGGCTAGATATTCCAATAAAGGGTGTTTTACTTTGGACGAATAGGTTTTTATAGGGGATAACATGAACTATATGAAAAGCACTTGAGTATGTTAAATTTAAATGACATTTCATACAGAATAATAGATTATTAATAAATTTGCAGCTATAGCTTTCTCTAATGGGAGTATCCAAACGGTTGAATCTTGAACGCCTTTGTCGCATAGATCCTTTTGAATATGATATTTGGCTTTAGTCATCTAAGCATTAAAAACCTTTGTGTTGGGTTTAAAGCCATGAATATGTATACTCCTAAGTCCTCCACTCTGGGCATCTACTACTATATCTCTTAGCAGTCCCGACGAGAGTTTAGATCTGTGATAATAGAATTTTTGTGCTCCTCCTGTTTTTTTTTTTTTGCTTCTCTAGCCGGATCAAAAGATTGATCGACATGTATTGACATGCTTGCTTTATTGCACCACGTAACCAGAACGGAATGGAGTCATGTTTGATATGATTTTATCCTACAATATCTATACATGCCAACTGAATAACCCTGTAAACATATAGGAGTGTATAGCGCCGAACCACAGCCAATATTACCATGCAGCATTGCATACTTATACGTACATACAAATTTACAAACACCTATACGAACCTACAAATACTCAGAGGTAATCACAGCCACATATTACCGCCGCATCTCCCAGTAATTCACTTATAGACCTCTCATGCCACGTATAAAAATCCACACACACCAGAACTCTTGTAATGAATTAACAACTCGACTGTTGCATCTAATGAGCCACAACTTCAGTGCTGAATTTGGTTGGCTTAACAAATCGGTTTAAAGTATGCAGATTTATACACCTATACTCATATATCTCGTACATACCTATTACGTACGATTAATCATTTGAAGCGGTAATTGGCGCCTTAATTCTGTCTCCTTCTCATGTTTGCGTCGCATATTAACGCGAAAAAATCGCAAGGATCGAATTTCCATCTACGAATCACTGCTCAATTGCAATAAAAACGATTTATTTCTCAAGCGGATGGTCACTAGCGGCAACCTCAATCAAAAACGGTCGGGAACAAAGCGCGATGAGCTGGTGCAAACTGTGGTCAAGACAGAATGAAGACGTTGTTATGTATTTGGTGGGATTGGCGGGGAACCATCTACTATTAGCGACCATTGGAATCGCTTATAAGTAGTCAGTTTTGACCAGTAGGAGAGGAATTGTGTTCCATGAGAACAACACCAGACCAGAAACTCCGGGAGCTTGGTTGGTTCTTGCGCATCTGCCTTTTAAACCGGACCTATCGCCAAATGATTAGTAAATTTTTCTGTCTGTGGCAAATGGTTTTTGAAAAATTCGTCTCAAAAGAAGCTTCTGAAAATCGATTGACCCAATTTTTAGGCAATAAGGACGAGGGTTTCGATGAAAGGGACATGTTGAAATTTAAATTACAGTTTCATTCAATAGGTTGTAACTACATTTCAAAATATATGTAAGTTCAAGACCTAACAAATATTTTAAGGAGTATTTTTTTAAACATCTTATTTTGGAATAAATATTGTAATATATGTAGTTATATTGTTTCGTTGCCTGGCAACTCTATTCTTAAACTGTCCTAGATTAAAAATGTCTAGAGAGATTTACATCTGATAGCTTATTTTGCAAATGAACCTGTTTTATTTTTCTATGTTATATTTTCAGTTATTAATTAGGCCTACGAGATCACAATGGAAATTCAAACGCGCCGTGAGGCTAATCGACTTTGAATGTTTCAAAAACATGGTTGCCGGTAGTACCAACTTCTGGAAGAAGGATATGCTTATATACTAGTAGTATACTTATATACTACTAAAGAGATGAACCCCAAATATTTTGTGCTAGATATTACGTTTTGAGCTGGATATACCCGCCGTCCAAAAACACGAACATTAAACATTACAACCGAGCATTTTTGTTGTGCGCATAAATGCCGATTTAATAGTTCCGAAATTATTTAATGTAGCGCAGGAAGTAGTGTTTCAAACTGCGTAAGCTGCATAATAAAAACTTTGTTGAATATCTTGAAGAACTTAGTCAAAATACTTAGAAGCTCCCTATAATAAATAGTATAAAGAAAGGTTCTGCGATTATAAATTTATCACAAATCACATTGGCTGCCTTTCTTTTTATTGCTAGTCAATGATGTTTTTTCGCTATATTTCCACTGATTGATTTCCGTGTCATAATAGTCAATTTATGGATCCATCAAAAAATAGTCGAGACTAGCACATGTCAAGCTATGATCAACAAAAGCAGAACGAAATTTTCTTTCTATATTCGAGGATATTTTTGATTTTTTTCACTGCCGATCTTCTCTCCTTTATGGCTAGAAATAGCCACAAAAGCTCACAGCAGTCAGCAGCTGAACTCCAGAGCGCTCATACCAGCAAAACCAGTAGTTCTTTAACATTCGCCTTTTGTTAATGAATTCCAACACTTCACTTTAGTTTAATCACACTGCGCTCGTAGCACGAAAAGCCAGTCGGTCCATATTTAAACTCACACTTGAATTGCGTTTTAATTTTAGCTCTTGAACACGCTGTCACATGCACATATACTCTCAAAAATTTACCCGCCGACGAAACGCCAAAAACAAAAGCCCACAGCGGAAAAAGTAATTGGCTTTTCGCCCCAGTGCAGCGTCGCCAACGGTTGAGATTTAATTACTCACGGCTGACAAGCGTCACACAATCTGGACAATACGACCGACGGCGAAAGCGCCGAGGGTAGCGTGGCGAACACCAGTAAGCATATTTAACGCTTAATTTCTTGTTTTAGTGTCAATGACACTAGTTTACAGTCATTTTGCGACTGTGATGTTAGAAGCAATTTTTTTTTTTTGCTAATTTTCCGAAAATGATAGTAAAAATTTCCTAACACGTAGGTTTTTTGTGTTGTAGTCAAGAGGTGTAGAGGTCAAACCATCACCATTTACTAAAATGACAAAAATAGCTATACATGATGGAAAGTTTTTAAACTCAAATTCGTAATCAAGACACCTCAAATACCTCCACAGGCCTCTTAGCACATTAGTCACAATTTTTTCCTTCAGATTTGTTGAGTAGTGTTATTGTTGCAATGCTGCAATTGGCAGGCGGCGGGTATGAGCAAACAAGTTTTCAGTAAGAGTCTAAGTACGTGTTCTTGTGAATTTCTTTGCTTTTTCTTCTTCTTCTTCTTCTTCTGTGATTATATTAATAATTTTCATGCTTCATGGAACACGGCGGGTTTTAATTGATTTGCTTAAATGCAACTTTTGACGCGCTCAGCTGACGCAATATTAATTGCCTCGCAAGTTTGTATGTATGTAGATGTGAGAGCGAGTCTTCAAGTGCGCAATCAACAGTCTACCATTAACGCAGATTTATTTAGAGTGCGGTTGATTGAAAGTGCATTGCATCATTTAGGATTAATTTTAGAGGAGCTTCACTTAATGGCCGCATGCTTTAAAGAAGCCTCTCAAAAAGGAAAGATGGTTCTAATGCAACTCGTATATGCCCCACTTGGTCAAGCAACTTTTTTACTATACGTACGGATACAATTAAAACCAGATTTTTTGCGACGACCTCGGTGATGAGTTCTCACTTAAAAAAGATGCAAAAGCATAAACAAAGTATGTTTAGTGCTAGCTGGTGAATGAAGGTTGATCGCGAAAAATTATCCTAAGAACTTTTTAGCAAATTAGAAAGCAAAGCGCTTGCTGGAGCTCCGGGTCTTAAAAACTTGTTGAACTCAAACATAAGTTCTAGAATTTGGAATTATAATTAAATCCATACACATAGCAAAAAAGTTGCTTGACATGACATGACTCGGAACGGAATCGGGTACGACGATATTTTTCGGTCTTTGGAAACTTTTGCCTTTTTAAAGAACTCATTGGTTCTTGAGTATTCCTGCTCGACCTCTAAAAGTTTCGAGCAAGCAGCAAAATGTCATATAAGGTCGAACTTTGGATCTTTTAACTTGGCTTAAAATGTACACATGGCCAATCAATCAACTGGAACGGAGATAACGAAACTCAGAGGGTGAGAAATTTCATCTTATGTCGAACTTTAGAGCTATATACTCTGGTAGAAGCAACGAAAAGCAGTGAGTGAGAAATTTCATCTATTGTCAAACCTTAGAGCTATGTACTCGGACAAAATAGGATTCTTAAGACCCATCCTTTAACTTTTTGTATCGCTGAGAGTTTTCATAGGTTATCAGTATTACAAGATCGGAAAGGATTTCAAGGTACATTTTAGCTGAGTATGGGGAATTTTGTCTAAAGAACCGGTTCAGCTAAGTCGGGCAATTTAATTTAAATTACATTAAGAAATACGCTGACTTTCTCGTACATTGGTAATATTATTTCAGTGATTAAATTAGTTGTACTAAAAGAAACTAATAAAAAAAACAAATTTTAAATCCACAACAAGGCGGTCTACTTTGAAAACCGGCAACTATTACAAACTTACTAAGCAAACAATCGCCGTCATTGTATGGTTGGGTTTGCCTATGCGCCTTATGCTATGCAACAGTCTACAGTTGCAAGGCAATTGCGTTAAATGATTGAATGACACTCAAGTGCAAAAAGCTGAAGGCACTTCACGCTGAGCTCGTGGCAAGTAGAGAACATTCTAAGAGCCCACTACAACTGTACAGCTGCGCGTACCTGACGGCGACTAAGTTAATTTCAAAGTGATGACGAAGTTTACTAACCGCGTGGCGCAAGAAGTTTGCTTCAGAAGTTAGCATGCGGTGGAAGTTAGCTGGAAGCAAATTAAAATGATTTACAACATATTTAGTTCTGGAAACTTAATTTTTTTTTTAGAGTTTGCTAAGCGCACTTAAGCTTATTGATAAGTCTGATTCTGATTACAGCTTTTGCTTTTTAATGAAGGCGTCCGGAAGGCGTTTTGCTGGACTTCCACGCATTGTTAGTGAAAGTTTGGCAAAATTTAGGCTTACTGGTCTTTAGGTAGTAATCACAAACCGACTGCATATGGCTCTACTAAGCAACTGTTAGGAAACTCAGATAAAAATATTAATACACTGTTTGACCCTCTATCGAGAAATAGTTAGTTACAGATTATTTTGGATAAAAGCATTAGAAGTACCAATTCACACGGACGGCCCTAGTTCCGGCAACATTCAGATCTAAGTTACCCAAACGTACCGGCATATAGATAACGTTGATGATGACCTTACCAGCTACATTTCATAAAAATGTTGAGTAAATATTTTTGGTTTCTATCACAAAAACTAAAAGGTATTTTGATTTTATAGACGATATATTGTTAAAGACTTACCTAAAGTTATTGGCTTTTGAGGTTTTGGCGTTATATATAATAGGAGAAGAGTAGAATTTACTATTCGACCAACATCATGAAGTTTCGGAATAAACTTGATGTTGTAAGAGCGATAACTTATCTTGCGGCATCAAACAAATTGGGGGTAAACAACGGTAGATTTGTAGTCAATCAAAATATTACAGATGTTCACTTTTACGGATATGCTCAAAGCAGGCATGAGTCGATCTTTGGACTAACTTACAATAATCGAAACATCATTACTTTGATAGTGCTCCCTTTGTATTGTTACAACACCTCATGAGTCCAAATTCAAGTCTTAAAAAATGGAAGAACGGAAAAACTGTGTATCCGTCGTTCTTTCAGGATTGTCTATAAACTGAATATGAACAGGGGTAATAAGTTAATTTTAGATTACAAATATAATTATTATACATTATCAAGGACTTAGATCGCCTCTAGTTATTGATATTCTCCAACAAAAAAAGATCTGCTAATAAATCAAGTCTCGAAATTCGAGCTCAGAAGTTATGTATGTTCAACGCGATAGCAGAGGTCACCATTACTTAAAATATATTATTTTAAAAAAATCATCCTCTGATAGGTTAATGCACGAAGTCACATATTGTCTATGTAAGGTTCTTTTGCTCTCAAAACTTTGCTGCTCCGGAAAATTCGACATTAAAATAATCATCACATGTGTATGTATATTTTACAATATTATATGTGCGTATAAATCTTCTGTTGTCGCTTTGTCGTCTTGTTGGCGCCAAACAACACGAACGTAAAAACTACCTCACAGCTGTGAAAATAAAAGTTATGCACTTTTACATAACTTGTGCAGGCGTGTAACTATTTCTAATGGTTGGAATTTCGCCAAATTCGTAGCGGATATCGAATTTCATAAATAACACACACACACACGGGCTTTAGCAAACGGCTCAGCCAATAAATGTGACTGGAATGCAATAGACTCGTGTAAAAAATGTGTGTGTGCTTGCCAAAATTCCGATTGAAGAAATATTTAAAATTGAAATAAAACATTTAGTTATAGTTATATATTAATTTATATATATATTATATATATATATATCATCACTGGTGCATGGAAAAGATTTTGTACATGCTGGTAAATTTATGGTAAAACACGACTAAAATTGAAAAAAACTTTGTTAACTAAAATATTCATAATTTTTCGGTGGATGCAACAAAATTGTGTAACGCGACGAAATTCCGTTACGATCATAGTTTGCATACAAAACGCCAGAAAGGTGAAGGTTAAATGTGAAGAATTACATTTTTTGATTTGTTCGGCGTCATACTCGTATATGGTTTGAAGCAAAAACAGCGGCAAGGTTGCCACCTTATTTAAAAATGACAGCTAAAAATGTATTTAGTTTTGTTTTATCAAATATACAAACTATATGAACAAATTTAATAGATGTTTTTTCGGAAAATATCTAAACGGAGTTGCCAACTGAATGCAATTTTTTTTTTTTTGTAAAATTTAATGACACAATTCAATAAGGTGGGTATCAAACTGAGGACCCCTAAAAGGCTAAAAGCTGAAAATATTTTTGAGAAGGGTTGCCAACCATTTCAATCAAACTAATAAATGACATATTAAAAAAGAAAACAGAGTTGAGAATTTTTTATCCCAGAGATATTTTTTGAGGTTAAGGCTGTCACTTGTTTAAATTTGAGATCTGCTGAAGTAGGAGACTTTGTTCTATCTCCTGCTGAGAT